GTAATGTTTTTTTTGCTTTATCACTTGAATAGTAGTCATTGGGCGGTTGAAGCAAAGATAAGGTATATGTAGTAAATGAGACACGAATGATGCTTAAGAGTATCTCTTCGTGACTATATAAACACTCAGACTCTCCGTCACATGAGTGGCGCACGGGATATCACTTGCGAGTAAGAAATCTGATGACAGGACATGTTGCTCGTTTTGCTGACAGCCAATAGACCTGGCCTGTTACAGTAAGTGGTATCTGAGAGGAAATAAAAAGGTTCCTCAGGCGATTTTTAGGGAAGAAAATGGTACTTGACTAAAATGGTACTCCGATACTTGACTAAGAGGAATATGGCCCAGGATTGAAAAGCCTGTAATTGCTAGTTAACTACACCCAGCATCTGGAGGTCATCCAAGTAACATCACTAACATGAGATAGACACAAAGTTGTCTTGATAATTATTGCAAGACACGATTCTGACGCTTTTTTTTACTGCTTCAATCAAAAATTAATGAATTTTAGTGTCAGTATTAGCTGTTTTCCAAGAAATGCACGTCGAATCTGATCTGTTTGCGATGGTTTTTGGTGAAAGTGTGCTAAACGATGCAGTTGCTATTGTTCTATCCAGGTAAGCAGTTTACTTCCTCTTAAGATCAGTAGCCGAGGAGAAAGGGATATGGGATGGGAGGGGAGGAAAAGAAGGAAAAGGGAGAGGGACGGGGTGGGGAGGGGGTAAACTTCTTTTTCCAGTTTTGTGTTAAATGAAATATTTTGCTCACCAATTTGCTGTTCAGCGCAATTCATTTCTTTTCATGCTTTGAAAGGAGTGAAAATGAGGGATTGAGGGGAAACGCAATTAGTAACGCTTCTTTTTTTTTTCAAAATAAAACTGTTATGGGCTGATTATTAGTGGTAATGAAGTTTTTTCGAGCTTGTCTAGGCATACATTCACTGTATATGAGCTTAAAAAAAGCACAGATAGCTTCAGTTTTTCACTTGTTTTTAGAATATTTATTAGCACAGTGAGCTAAAATCGATGGATTATGTAGAGCTGATAATGCATACGTGCAGCTTAATGGACCGAAACGTCTTATCATTGAACTTCCTCTCATTTCAAATCGAATGGGAAGCAGAGGTACTGGAGAGTTGCCTGTCGTAGATCCTGCGCAGCCTCCGGCACAGCAACCTCCGACTTAGCAGCGTCGGTACCTACTTCGACACCAATCCCGTCACCAGCCTCAACACCTGCCTCGATATCGGCCTTGACACCAACCTCAACACTAGCCTCGACACCAGTTACCACCTGAACTTGCGCTCTGTACGCGAGACTGCTGCAGAAGAACACTCATTCCCTTGATCGGATCCAGAATTTGGGCTTGGCAATCCGGGAAGGGATTTTGCAGTTGTTGGATTAAGCTTTCCCAACAATTTTTTGTGCATCGTCCAGGAAGCTCAACCCAACAATTGAAAATTTTTGCAAATCCGATTAGTAACAAAGGTGCTGACAAAATTCTCGACGGCTTGCTTACCCTGGCGTTGAATAGAAGCAATTTGTTGATAATACTGTAAAATATATCGGTAATAATTTACAATTAGGAAGAATTAACGAGGCGGAATTACTTGTTCCATTGGCGGAAATCGAACTCTCGACCCTCAGAATGTGAGAGAAATGCTGCTTATCAGTACACATTATGAACAATCGTTGAGTTCCATCATTTAGTGGACGTGGAATGAAATTTTTTTTTTGAAAAATTTCAGTTCAGTGGATAATTTTGCATCGGATAAATCGTTTGATCTGGATGCGCTATTTGCTGCTGTCATCGATTTCTTATCTGTCTTCTTTGGTAGGATTTTTTCTTTGAATCGCATTTTTTTTCTGAATTTTTTTTAAAAATCTATTGGCTTATTATACAAAGACAACATATTTTGTATACAGCTAAGTGTCACAGGTCAGACGGCGGACATGACGTAGGGGCAAGTAGTGCTGCTTACATGCTAAAGGTTGGAAAAAGAGGGGAAGGGG